AACAATCTAACGCACTCTGGCTATTTAACTGTCTCAAAGGATTATCCCCAGAAGCCCTTGTTCAGTCTCTTTTGCCATTCAGTGTGTTGCATTACCACTAATCAACTTTCTCCACAGGAGATAAAGAAATAATACCTGAGTACAACAGTTTGCCTGACAAGATATATTTTTGCGAGATAGAGTAGAGTGTCTCATTAATTTTTAATCTTTTGCAACGGACAACCTGATTAACTTTATTATTGAGGTTTTCACCGAGCTCAGCAAGGCGTAGAAATAGCAAACGATATTGACAAGTCGACTATGAAGTTATCTATCATGGATGAAGTAAATACAGGGTCATACTCCCCTTTCTCATAATCATAAGCATTTCACTTATTATCTGGGCAAGGTGAGAAAAATATTTTGGGGGCCACGGTTTTAGCTAAAATATTTTTCTCACCTGGCCCACAAAATTTTCAAATTTTTCACAACTTCGCCTGTTCCTGTTCGTATGTCCGGCAAAGCCTTTATGGTCACTGGCCCCCGTATAGCCGCTAGCTGTGGCTTATAAATACAGGCATTTAGTTTTAACTTGTAAAACTCCCTGACGAAGTCTACGACACTAGAAAAAATGCGTCAGAGAATAAAGAAGTTTTACAACTACTGTTCGCAAAGTGCTGCTCACTAGTTCGGTTTTAAAAAAATTGTGTGAAGAAATTTAGAAAAAAAATTAATTTAAAATGATGAAATAATGAGTCGACTACGAAATTATCTATCACGGATGAAGTAAATACAGGGTCCTACTCCCCGTTCTCATAATCTAGGCATTTTACTTTAGGCTAGAACGAAATTCCCCAGTCTAGAATTGATTGTAGGAGCACAGGAGGCCATTCTACTACCACCTCTCGGTTAAAAACACACACAGCAAGACAGTGTTGACATTTCGCCCCTTGGAAAATTACCAGTCTTCAAAACGGTGACAAAGTCATAAATTAATCATATCAACAAAAAAAGGAATCCTTGTGGTGAGAAAGTTCATGTTTACATTGCTACCTAAAAAAAACTCCAGCTGCACAATAAATGGTGAAATAATACCTGGGTGCGCTAGATATGGAATTTCTCTCCGAGTATTTAACTCGATAGCTCACGAGTAAGCGCAGAGAACGAATGAGATGTCTGTTTAAAAACGAGAAGAAAAATTTCATATCTACAAGCAACCATGTATTATTTTGTTTGACATATAAACACAATAGTCCTTCACTGACAAGAAAAGTTGACTTCATTAATAAATGACAATAAAAGGATCGACTGTCTCCGAATAAAAATCGTAAAGTGTGTTGGCGCACTCAAGATGAAAATTGTGTGGAATTATTACAAAGGCAAACAATGGGCCTAATTTTCAATATATAAAATTTTCAGCTATTGAATTGGTCCTTACCGACGGAAGAAATATTTCAGGTACATGCCAAAATCGGCCTAGGGTAAATCTTCTAGTGCTCGATTTTTGTTATCAGCCGTGAAAAATTCCATTACCAAAGGCACTGAATATGTAGGTTTCGGCTTTTCTTTTCGTATTTTGGTTTTCTTCCTCTCCTAGTAAAGTTTGAACGTCACTGTCTGTTAGCGGTAAGGATTTTTTAGTGTTTAGCAGCCATAAATTGAAAAAATTTTGACAAATGACCTTGGATTGGGAATGGTGAAGGCTTTGCCGTTTATTCATCAACCAGACGAAGTGGTGCGAAAGGGGACTGACGTGTCAGCAGCTGATCGGCGATATCAAACACACG